ACCTATATTTCTGTTCCTCCAGATTATTAATAACATTTGTTCATAAATTATCATCAGTAGAATTACTTAAATGTATTTTCGTATAATCTTTAAAAGCTTAGTAGTAGAAATACATTTTTCTTAACTGAATGATTTTTAACTAAAATATATCCACAACTACATAATGCAAGTTACTGGGCTATAGGCCTAAATTGTTGGGAACTTATGGATAATGAGCTGCAGATGCAAAGAAAGCACTATGTGGCCAGAAACTTGAAGTGTGGATTTAATGTTTGTTTAAAGAAGGGAATAGACTACAGTAGCAGAGCAACGGGAAATGAACAACACAACCACCAGGTGGCAGCATGGTTGGGTTTTGCTGGAGAGAGCATATATACCATACTGAATAGAGAAAACAGGGAAATTTGTCTACAGCATGGGAAAGATCAAGTAGACAGTCAGGTGCTGTTCAGAACAGAGGGATGGTGATGTTCTTCCCAGTTTATTTTTTTATTGTTTCTGTGAATGCTGAGTGGCCATGGTAGCTACTGGGATTGCTGTTGCTTCCTTCCCAGAATACATAGAACACAGGGCCTGTGTCCTTCACTTTGCCCCATATAGATCATCATTCACTCTTAAATAATAAATAAATAAAATCACTTCTGTCACAATTATCAGATAGTACTTAGTCCACACTATTAATCAGGTTAAACGCATGTAATTATAATTCTAAAAAATATTTTTTAATTGAATTACCATGAGATGCACAGTTATAAAGCTGTTAATGGTTGGGCTTCAGTCATAAAATGTTCCAACACTGTCATCTCTTCACCAGTGTACATTTGCCACCACCAATGTTCCCAGTTTCCCTCCTGCCATCAACCTCCACAGCCTAACTCTGTGGCTGGGGCACTTATCTTCTTTCTCTCCATCCCTTCTTTTGGGCATTATGGTTAGCAATACAGGTACTGAGAGGTTATCATGTTTGTCCCTACTTTCAGCAGGCAGTTCTTATCCAGAGTGATCATTTCCAACTCTCTTTGTCATGGTGGTTCCTTCTCTATCCCAACTGCCTTCTCCCCCAGCATTTGAGGCAGGTTTCCAACCTTGGATCAGTCCTTTTGATCCTGGCTTATACTGTTCTTGGGTATTAGTCTCATACTATGTTTCTTTTATATACCACAAATGACTTCAATCATTCTATGCCAATCCCTCTTCTTCTGACTCATTTCACTCAGCACAACACTCTCTATGTCCATCCATTTATAAGCAAATTTCATCGCTTTATTTTTCCTATTAAGTGCACAGCATTCCATTGTAAATATGCAAATGCAGCGTAGTTTTTCTAACCAGTAGTCTGTTCTCAGGCACTTGAGTTTTTTCCAAATCTGACTATTGTGAAGAATACTGTAATTAACATAGAGGTGCATATGGCATGTATGCTGTGTGTTTTTGTGCTTCTGGGATATATTCTCAGAAATGTTATTTCTAGGTTGTATGGAAGCTTAATTTCTAGTTCTTTGAGGAATGCCAATATTATTTTCCAACAAAGTAGGGTAAGTCAGCATTCCCACCAACAATTAATGAGGAGTCCCTTTTTCTCACATTTCCACCAGCACTGGTTGCTCTTGTTCTTTTTGATATGTGCCAGTTTTTGTGGTGTGAGCTGATATTCATTGTTGTTTTGACTTGCATCTCCTTGAAGAATAACAATGTAGGACATTTTTCATAGTGCCTTTTGTCCATTTGTATTTCTTCTTTGAGGAAGTTTCTGTTCATTTTTTCTCCCCATTTTTGACGCTGTTTTTGTTTTTCTTGTAAAGTTCTACCAGTGACTTTTATATCTTGGATATTTACCCCATACCTGATTGGTATTAGGTAAATATTTTTTCCACTCCATGGGCTGATTCTGGATAATGGTAATGATTTCTTTTAATGTTCATAATCTTCTTTAGTTTAATGTACTCCCATTTGTTTATCTTTGCTTCCACTGCTTGATCAGTGGTGTTTCAACTTTAAAGATGACTTTAGAATCATCCATACTGTTTTCCAAAAGGGCTGAACCAGCCCGCATTCACATCAACAGTGAAGGAGTGTCCCTTTCTCACCACATTCGCGCTAGCATCAGTTGCTTTTGTTCTTTTGGATGTGGGCCAGTCTCTGAGGTGTGAGATGGTATCTCATTGTGGTTTTGATCTGCATCTCCCTGATAATTAATTATGTAGAGCATTTTCTCATGTGCTTTTTTGCCATTTGGATTTCTTCTTTGAGAAAGTTTCTGTTCATTTCATTGCCCCATTTTTTATGGGGTTGGATGTTTTCTTCTTGTGGAGTTCAACCAGTACTTTATATATCCTTGGTATCAACCGCTTGTCAGATGTGTATTCGGCGAATATCCTTTCCCATTCTGTAGACTGTTTGGGAATATATCCCAGAGAGGCAAAAATGTATAGTCGAAGTGACATCTGCACTTGTTTGTTTATTGCAGCACTCTTTACAATAGCCAGAATCTGGAAAAAACCTGAGTACCCAAGAACAGATGACTGGTTAAAGAAACTTTGGTACATCTACACAATGGAGAACTATGTAGCTGTTAGAAAAGATGAAGTCATGAAATTTGCATACAAGTGGTACTACATGGAAACTATCATGCTAAGCAAAATGACTCAGAAAGAGAGGGATAGACATTAAAAGATTGCATTCTTCTGGGGGACATAAAGTAGCAAAATAGGAGATTAATACCCAAGAATAGCCGAGATCAGTACCAGGAGGATTACTCCATGGCTTAGAGGCCAGCCGGGCATTCTAGGGGAAAGGGCAGCTCAGATAGAGAAGGGAGCACCAAATAAAGGGTGTTTGGAGGATCCTCCCAGGATGAGAGATGCATGTTGAAAGTAGACTATAGACCGAACATGATTGCTACTCAATGCCTCTTTTGTAGACCACAACACCCAAAAGGAGAGAAAAAAAAGGGAATGCCCTGTCACAGAGGCAGGGTGGTATGGGGGGATGGGGGTGGGAGGGATACTGGGATCCATGGTGGTGGAAAATGGGCACTGGTGGAGAGATGATATTTGATCATTTTATAATCGAAACACAAGCACAAAAATTTGTAAGTCTATAACTGTACCTCATGGTGTCTCACTAATAAAAAAAATATATATAAAAAAGATGACTTTAGCTTCAATGTCATGGAGGGTTCTACCTATGTTTTCCTCCATGTACCATATGGATTCAAATCTGATCTTCAGTACTTTAATCCATTTTGATATGAATTTTGTGCCTGGCACTAAAGAGAGGACTGAGTTTGTTGTTTTTGTTGTTTGTTTTTTTCTTTTTGCATGTTGTTGCCCAGTTTTCCAGCACTACTTGTTCAAGAGGTTTTCCTTGCTCCACTGAACATTTCTTGTTTGTTTGTCAAAGATTAAGTGATCAAATATTTGAAGGTCTGTGTCAGGGCATTCAACTCTATCCCATTGGTCTGTGGATCTGCCCATACTGTTTTAATTACTACTCCTTTGTAGTAGAGTTTGAAGTTGGGGGAGGTTATGGCTCTCATTTTCTCTTTTTCAAGGAGTGCTTTACTTCCTTCTTCGTGGGCGGGGTTTGCTCCTGATAGGGAGTGCATGTAGGGGGTGGGGGGAATATGGTGTTCCTAATTTTCTCCAGAGCCCTATGTCTTGCCTGCTGCTTTAGTGCTTGGGGACCTTATGTGGGCTGGGCAGCATCAAGACAACTAGCTTGGAAATTGATTTTTTTGCTCTGCATTGGTAAAGGTAAGGTAAAGGCCCTCCCATTGATCGTCGATTTGCTCGAGCGGGCCCAGTAACGTCTCCATTGGAGACTTTGTTGTTACTGTGTTTGGCATATCGAATACTCTCGGTAGCTTGCCGGGCTCTCCGAGAGGGGCGGAGGAATTGAACTCGGGTTGGCCATGTTGGCTGCTTGTAAGGCGAACGCCCTACCCGCTGTGCTATCGCTCCAGCCCACTCTTGAAAATTAGAGTGTTCAAAGCATTGGTAATCATCAGAAAGATTCAAGTCAAAACATGAGATAGCATCTCACACCACAGAGACTGGCACACATCAAACTGAACAAGATCAACCAATGCTGACAGGAATGTGGGAAGAAAAGGACGCTATTGGTGTGAATGACGACTGGTCCAGCCCTTTTTTGAAAAGCCATATGGACATTCCTTAAACAAAATAGAAATTGAGCCTCCATATGACCCAGCAATTCCACTTCTGGGAATATATTCCGAGGGTATACAAAAAAAAAAAAAACAGTAGAAATGACATCTGTACCTACATGTTCATTGTAGCACTGTTCACAATAGCTTGAATCTAGAAACAACCCAAGTACCTGAGAATGGATACTGGATAAAGAAACTTTGATACATCTACAAAATGGAGTATTATGCACCTGTTAGGAAAGATGAAGTCATGAAATTTGCTTATAAGTGAATGGTCATGGACAGTATTATGCTAAGTGAAATGAGTCAGAAAGAGAGGGACAGACATCGAGTGACTTCACTCACTTGTGGAATATAAAATATCATAATATGAGAGAAACACTGAGGGACAGTAGAGACAGGACCAGGAGTATTGCTCCATGGTTGGAAACCTGCCTCATGAGCTGGGGGAGAAGGCAGCTGGAATAGAGAAAGGATCGCTAAGTCAATGATGGTTGGAGGAAATGTTCAGGATGGGAGATCTGTGCTGAAAGTAGATAAAGGACCAAATGTGATAACCTCTCAGCATCTATATTGCAAACCATAATGCACAATAGTACAGGACAGTATGGGGGAAATTGTCTGCCATAGGGTTAGAAAGGGGGTGGGGATATACTGGGGACATTGGTGGTAGAGAATGTGCACTGGTAAAGGGATGGGTGTTTGTTCATTGTATGGCTGAAAATAAATCACGAAAGCTTTGTAAGTGCAGCTCACGGTGATTCAATAAGAAAAAATTAATCTTTAACTCTTTATCTATGCCCACTGCACTTTACTCCTGTGTGAAGCAAGTGGGAAGCCTCCTCAAATCAGTGTGTCAAGTCAGGGAGTTGCAGTCATGGCATTTGGAAGATGGTTTTTCACAGTTCTGCTGCTGCAGTTTTGCTGCACTGACCATGGATTTTGTGGGAAGGTCCTGGTGTGGCCAGCTGACATGAGCCATTGGCTTAACATGAAGACAATTCTGCAGAAACTCACAGAGAGAGGCCATGAGGTGACTGTACTGGTTTCTTCAGTATCCTATATCATCGACTATCACAAACCTTCTACATTCAACTTCCAGGTGATACCTATGGAAAATATCAAAGAAAATGCTACAGAAATAATGAATGATTTTTTACACCTAGCAGTTAATATTATGCCAACATTACCGCTCTGGAAATCAGCAGTGAAACTGCATGAATTTGTTGCACATGTTACTAACATTTTTAAATTACAGTGTGAGAATGTGGCTTACAATAAGGCAGTCATGAAGAAGCTCCATGAAACCAAGTATGATGTAATGGTTATAGATCCTGTGATTCCCTGTGGAGAGCTGATAGCTGAGTTGCTGGCAATACCGTTTATATATACTTTAAGATTCTCCATGGGTCACACTTTGGAGAAAAACTGTGGAAAACTTCCAGTTCCACTTTCCTATGTACCTATTCCTATGACAGCTCTAAAAGACAAAATGACCTTTATGGAAAGGGCAAAGAATATGGTGTTTTCTGTTGCATCTGACTTCTGGATCAAACAATACGATGATGAGGTTTGGGACAAGTTGTACAGTGAAGTATTAGGTAAGAAATTCTTCCCTTTTAAAGAAATTATCAAGAGAGTCTTTGTTCCAGGAAAATCTTGAAAAGTGAACAAAGTATAATTAAAAAGTTTTATTTTCTCATATGTCTTTAGAAGTGAGCAGAACAAATTGTCATAAATAACAACTATTGAGAGGAGGCAAGAAAGATCATTCCATGATTACTTTCTATTTGCAGTCAACTAAACATTTTATGCAACTTCTTGATACTTAATAGTGTTATCAATATAATATATAATAAATTACATAAATATAAACATCAATAAAATACAAAGCAAAATTTATTTTCAAATATAAATATCACAAAGAAATGTTTCCACTGAATTTTCACACTGGATCAGGTTTGAATCCATGTTAGTAGAGAATGCAGTAAAAGTAAGATAATCTTACCTGTTTTCATTAGTAAACAAACACCAAGTTATAATTTTTAGTCATGGATTATTGCATTCAAATCTTTATCATTCTGTGTTGAAGCAGAATACCAGTGATTCTTTGCTCTCATAGAAACTGTTTGCAGACTTCAAGAATTCTTTGTGAACTGTTTTGCCATGATTCTTCATACGAAAAGTCTCTCATAGTTTTTATTCTTCTTAGTGAGCATTATATAAAAATGTGAAAAGTAGATGAATTTATATCTTGTCATCTTGTAAGATAAGCTTTTAACATCACTAATTACATATATTAGATATTAAAGTTTTGCTGTATCTAATAAAGAATAAATTTGTTTTGTAATTTTTATATAGACAACTCTCATTTGTTCCTACAAATAACTCTGGTATTTACAAAGTTATTATATTGAAACACTGAGTAATTATCTCCCAGATTATACTAATTTCAGTAGGGTTTTACGTGAGCAAATGATGCATTGATTGTCTAAACACCAAATTTGTTTTTTTCTTCCGATACTTTTTATGAAACAAGTCCAAAACAAAGGTCATGTTTTTTTTATTTTTTCAAAACAAAGGTCTTGAAAGAATAGTTTTCTTTTCTTTCTTTCCCTTTTCTCACCTACACCCCTCCCCCCTTGCCTTTTTCCCTTTTGCAAGGTATTGAGAGGGTAGCCCTCCTACCACGGGGCTTATGCTTGACTCTGTCTGTTAATTTTTCTGTGTGCTCAGATAACCATATGAGATGCTGGGCATTAAACCAAAGGTGACTGCAAGTAAAACAAGTGTCTTAACCCCGTACTAGCTCCCTCATTCTTCCTTTCAATTTCTTTATTACATCCCTCCTTCTTTTTTTTGTTTCCTTCCTTCAACTATACCTAAATTTCATCCTTCATTTCTTCCTAATATGCCTTTTTTTGCATCCTGACTTTAATATTGGGAGCGGGTGAGAGCCCTCCCTGCCCCAAGGGACCCAGCCCCAGCAGCTAACTTCCACTACCCAACCACCGCCATGCTCCAGGCCTCTTTCCACATGATCGAGCTGAGCCTCAAATATGAATGAACATATTCCTGGACACACATAAGACAATACCTACCCATTTTTCATAATTACCGCACCATATTTGATTGTAGGCCACAAATCATAGAGAAATATATATATTCAATATGCCAAAACCAGTAACAATAACAGGTCTTATTCCCCTGACTCTGAAATCATTGGGAAAGATGAGTAAGGAGAGGCTGATAAAATCTCAGGGTTGGGACGAATAGAGACAGAACTGGAGCCAACTCAAGTAAATCCATGAACAATGGGATGACAGTGATACAGTGATAATTTAATATTATTTAAAACTCTTTTTCTATTATTAAACCTTTAATATTATCTAAAAATCTTTTCTATTATTATTAAGTCTTTAATATTATTTAAAACTCTTTAAAATTATTTTAAAATATATTTTTACATATAAAATAATGAATACATATGAGGTGGACCTACATATTCTCCAGAATGTTACTCAAACTTTATAGAACTAATTAATACTACACTCATAAATTGAACAAATATGATACGAGTAAACTGTTGACTTTTATTTATCCTGAAATCAGATGCATTTTGTAGAATCTAATTTTTATATTGAGGAAAATTTCTAGTTATTTATAGCATTCATCATAATTTTATCTTTATATAATCTTTATATAATTCTTGAATTTACAACTGTGAATAACTACAGGCATACATAAAGGAAACCAGAGAATAAATATAATACCTACACATGTCTCATTGAAAATTATCACTTTATAAATGTAATTTGAAAAGTATGCATATTTTAAAATTATATATGCTTTTCTATACCTTGTTAATTCAATTATTTTGTGTTTTCCATTGTTTATTTTTTAAATAAATCACTGTGACACACACAGTTACAAAGCTGTTCATAACTCTGCCTTAATGCTTGTGGTATTTCAGCAAACTCTGAAAAAAATTACACTAAAAAATTAAAAAATGACTCCCTGATTTCCATAAAATTTTAACAAAATCATGAGCAATGGAAGTTGTCAACATATCTTCGAATGTGGTACATAATTTAGTAGGTTTTTAAGTTCTATTATAATTAATGCTAGTAATCCATAACTAATTTATTATTATATTCTACTTACATGAAACTTTAACTTGGACAAATAAAATATTTAATAGGTCACTTGAATTTTTATTTATGGATACTTTTTTTAATTTTTATTAGTGAAACACCATGAGGTGCAGTTGTAGACTTACAAATTTTTGTGCTTAGGTTTCAGTTGTACAATGATCGAGTACCCATCCCTCCACCAGTGTCCATTCTCTACCACTACTAATCCCAGTATCCCTTCCACCCCTTTTGTCCCCCATTCCCACCCTGCCTCTGTGGCAGGTCACTACCTTTTGCTCTCTCTCCTTTTAGATGCTGTGGTTTGCAAAAGAGGCATTGAGTGGAAATCATGTTCGGTCTATAGTCTACATTCAGCATGCACTTCCATCCTGGGCGGATCTTCCCAACATCCTTCATTTGGTGCTCCCATCTCTATCTGAGCTGCCTTTACCCCTAGAGTGTGCGGCTGGCCTCCAAGCCATGGAGTAAACCTCCTGGTATTTATCTCGGCTATTCCCGGGTGTTGCTCTCCTATTTTGTTACTTTATGTTCCCCAGATGAATGCAATCTTCCTATGTCTGTCTCCCTCTTTCTGACTCATTTTGCATAAAATGATACTTTCCATGTAGTACCACTTGTATGTAAATTTCATGACTTCATCCTTCTAACAGATACATAGTACTCCATTGTGTAGATGTACCAAAGTTTCTTTAACCAATCATCTTTTCTTGCTCACTCAGGTTTTCTCCAAATTCTAGCTATTGTAAACAGTGCTTCAGTGAACAAGTGCAGATCTCACTTCGACTATACTCTTTTGCCGCTCTAGGGTATATTCCCAGGAGTGGAATTGCTGGGTCAAATGGGAGATCAATTTTTAATTTTTTGAGAATCATCTATACTGTTTTCCAAAATGGCTGAACCATTCGGCATTCCCACCAGCAGTGAAGGAGGGTCCCTTTCTCACCACATCAGCGCCAATACTGGCTGCTTTTGTTCTTTTGGATGTGGGCCAGTCTCTGAGGTGTGAAATGATATCTCATTGTGGTTTTGATCTCCATCTTCCTAAAGATTAATGATGTAGAGCATTTTTTCATGTGCCTTTCAGCCATTCGGATTTCTTCTTTGAGGAAGTTTCTGTTCATCTCATCACCCCATGTTTTGATGGAGTTGTAAGTTTTCTTCTGGTGGAGTTCAACCAGTATTTTTTATATCCTTGATATCAATCCCTTGTCAGATTTGTATTTGGCGAATATCCTTTCCCATTCTGTAGACTGCTTCTGTATTTTGGTCATTGTTTCTTTTGAGGTGCAGAAGCTTCTTCGGTAAGGTAGTCCTATTTGTCTATCTCTGTTTTCACTTGCTTGGCCAGTGGCGTGACATCTTTGAAGATACCATTAGCTTCAACATCATGGAGGGTTTTGCTGACTTTCTCTTCAATGTACCTTATGGATTCCAGTCTGATGTTGAGGTCTTTAATCCATTTTGATCTTACTTTTGTACATGGTGTTAGGCAGAGATCTGAGCCCATTTTTTTTGCATGTAGCCAATCAGTTTTTCCAGCACAATTTGTTTAAAAAATGGTTTCCTTACTCCACTTTACATTTCTGGCTCCTTTATCAAAGATTAGGTGGTCAGATGTTTGGGGGGAGATGTCAGTATATTCAACTCTGTTCCATTGGTCTGCTGTTCTGCCTTTTTTCCAGTACCATGCTGTTTTAATTATTACTGCTTTATAGTAGAGTTTGAAGTTAGGGTGGTTGATTCCTCCCATTTTCTTTTTCCTAAGAATTGCTTTAGATATACATGGGGGCTTATTTGGTCCATATAAATTGCAGGAGTGTTTGCTCCAGTACTTTGTAGAATGTCATGGGTATCCTGATAGGGATCGCATTGAATTTGTACAGTGCTTTGGAGAGTATTGCATTTTGACAATGTTAATCCTCCCGATCCATGAACAGGGGATATTTTTCCATTTCCTTGTGTCTATTGCGGTATGTTTTGTGTCCTAGCTCATGGTCTATTTTGGAAAATGTTCCATGCAAACTGGAGAAGAATGTGTATTCTTTCTTTTTGGGATGTAGAGCCCTTTACAGGTCTATAAGTACTTTCTCTTCTATTTCTTCTTTCAAAGCCAATGTTTCCTTGCTGAGTTTTGTTCTTGTTGATTTATCCAGAAGTGATAGGGCGATGTTGAAGTCTCCAACTACTATTGTGTTGCTAGCATTGTCCTCCTTAAAATCTGTTAGCAGCTGTTTTAAGTAGTTAGCTGTTCCCTCGTTAGGAGCGTGTCCATGTAAGCATGTGATTTCTTCCTGTTGTACGTATCCCTTGATGAAGAGAAAAAGGCCTTCGCTGTCCCTTCTAATCTTTTTTCAACCTGAAATTAATGTTGTTGGATACTAGTATGGCCACCCCAACTTTTTTGAGAGAGCTGTTTGCTTGCAGGATTGTTTTCTATCCTTTAACTT